TTTACAACAGAGAAGTAAGATTTGAGGGCAACATCTGGCTAGGCTTCCTTCTGCTGAGGTGGCACTTTCTAAAAATAAGGAAGAGACCAAGGGATGAGAAAGGTTTCTATTTTTTCTTCGGCTCCTCCAAAATAATTCAGCACAAAGATCTGTCTCTCCCGCCCGTTCCCCCTCGCTTCCTTTCTGCAGCTGCATACAGTAGCCAGTTATGTAACCTCCATCTCGAACCGTTCCTCCCTTTCGGCTTAACCATCTTCCAGCCCTATTTGTGTCAAGCAGACTAGATCACGGAGGCTAAAAGCGGAGGAAATTACACCCTGGGCAGCCCAGTCCAGATGCAGCCTGACTTCGGGCGTGCTTGCTCCTGCAAGCCAGAGCCAAACTTTGTGAAACGGGCTTTTTAAAGCAGGAAGCAACAGCTTCTCACTCAGCCCGTTCTGCCACTGCAGGAGCCAGTGAGTGTTCCCCGAAATGTTTAATGCTGGAGTTACCGTCTGCCCATTTTAGAAACATAGAAACGGAGCAAGTCAGAAGGGGTCTCCCGGGCCATCTAGTCTGACCTCCAGCACCAGCCAGCTCCGCTCACGACGTGCCCACCAGGTGCATGCCCAGCCTGTCCTTGAACACCTCCCCGATGGGGCCTCAGCCACCTCCCGTGGGAGCCCACGAGAATTTTGCTTAGAACCATTTGGGAACTGAAAGATCTGAACACGCAGCACTGGAATGGAGGCGGGGATGCGCTGCTTGGGGGCCGTTTGGCGTGTGCTGCCCATTGAAAGCAACGCCGGGCAGACCGCATCCACGCTCCAGTGGGCCTGGTTTATACCGTTGTTTTCTGGATTTTGCTGCCTGAGGTGAAGGACAGAACCAGGCCCCCTCCCACCCTTTACAAGGCCAGCTGGGCTTCCACTCACGGTGGGGCTATCTCAGAAGGCTCGCAGGGCCAGCCGCTCGGCACACGGGCCATTCTTGCCTCCACTGCTGCATCGCTGCCTCCCAGCACCTGGAGCCTGAGGCGATCGCTTCTTGCAGCCTCATATTAGGGCTGGACCAAAAACCTGGAGGCACCGCTTTGGCTTGGATTTTCAAATCTCTCAGAATGGATTTTCAGATTCTCAGACACGCAATTCTTTTCGGCCAAGTTGAGCAAGGTCACATACCGATTATAGTAGGTCCAACTAGACAGCAGAGTCAAATGATGGCTCCAGGTAGCAGCTTCCGCTGCAGAAGGGCGATGCAAAGGCGCTTTCACAGGGAGCACTCTGTTTGCGAGAGACTCGGCTGGTGGGGGCATCCTTTATCCCTGAAGCACCAGGCAAAGACCATTTTATATGTTTGAGACCATTTAACATCTCAATTTCTTTCCCAGTTTATTAATTTCTCATTTGCTTTAGTGATCAGCTACTCCTGGTACCTTCTTTTTAGAGCCATTTCAATACTCTGCTGTAAGTTGTTGCTCGTCTTTGTTCTGTGGTTCTAACACAGAACAAAGAACTGAGTGTGTGTGTGTGAGAGAGAGAGAGAGAGAGGTTGTGTCCTGCAAGAGCCAGAAGAGACGCTTACAGGATTTTGGCTGATCGGCATCTTCTTCTGGAAGAGGCTTGTGGCGGAACAGTGATTCTGCGAAGGACGTGATGCATGCAAGCAAAGGAGCGAACGCAGCTCCCGGCACTCAGCCTGATAAATGGGGCCTGCGTTTACCAGGTTGACAAATGCCTGCAGTTTATCACACTCCCAGAGATGGTGCCAAGCAAACACTCAGGTGGGGAAGATTGTCTGGTATTTTACTTTCGTTTTGCGCGTTGGTACGTTTAAAAGAAAACAAAGGGATACGGTAGCTTCGGTTTTGAGTTCCGTGTGATTCCAGATTCCCATGAAGCTCCTGCAATGGGCATGAGCAGGACAGGAATTGGACGAGGGAATGCGGAGACCTGCACAAGGCCAGGAGCTCCTGCTGTTGTTGGGCTCTATCTGGGCAGCGAGAGTTGAGAGGAACTCGCTGTTTCAAAGCCTAACCTAGCCTGAGTCTCATCCCTAACCCTAATCCAGGGCTCAAATACCCTTGCCTCAAGGCAGCCTCCCGTCGTGCCAGCTTTCAGGCTCTTGCTTTCATTCCTTCTGCCCAAGCTGAACCCAATTCAAGCTTCTAGAGCAGTGAGTTTCTCCAGGCCTAACCCCAACCTGGTGGCTCATTCTCATCCCAATGGGCGGAAGAAAAAGCCAACGCTTCAGTGGCCCCGAGCCAGGCTTGCGGTGGAAAGCGAATTATTCACAGTGGCAAAAGAGGAGATGGCACTGGGCTCCAAAAGGGTGTCCCCAGAGATGGGGAATAAAATGGAATAAAATGGAAAACAAGGTGCAGGGTGTATTAATGTAAAAGGATGCCCACTGCAGTGTTTCTTTTTAAAACCCTAATCCACATAAACTCTCGTGGGGTCTTGGCCAGCAGTGAATGACCAGCAGAGAGATCTTGGGCTCAGCTGAAAATCAGATCCAGTGCTCAGCTGCTGTCAAAAAGGTAAAGCGCTACAGACCATGAAGAAAGTTGGTTAGTTGGTCTTACTGGGTAGTGGAAATACGGCCAGATCTGTCTTGGGCAGTCAAGAAAATACTTCAAGAACCTGAAGGCTGAATTAAATCACTGTTAGAAACTGGAATAGGAAAAGCATATGACCGAGTGAGCAGTCCGAGGACTTCCCCCTGGCTTGCTACAGTCTTTTCCAACAGTGCCGCGAAAGTTTCCTAATTCCTTCCCATTTGTGTGTTTTGCCCCCAGCTCTGAAGGCACTGAATTCGGAATGCACTGCAGATCAATCCTGCGAATGTTTACATGAGCTTGAGCCTGCGGAGGGGGCAGGAAAGCAGGATCTGTAAAATGGAAAAGGAAACCTAGAGAGAAAGCAGGTGGGCGGTTTGTCGTGGGTGAGCTGATTCAAAGGTGATTTCAAAGCTTGTTTTTTTAAAGCTGCCAGCAAGAGGTTCACCTGCGTGCAGAGCAGGCCCCCCTGTGGGAAGAGGGCGCTTCCCCGAGGAAGCTCACATTCGGGAAGGCCTGGAGTGGCCCCGCGGCCCCGCCGGGCGTGCCGTCACCTGCTAGCGGAGCAGTCCGGCAACAGGGGTCCGGGCGTGGATGGCCACGTGGCCAAGGAAGGGAGAGGACAGGCGCCACGCGGAGGAGGGAGGCGCAGGCCTGCAGGAGGGGCCCAGGGATCCCGGGCGCGGGTGGCCAAGGAAGGGAGAGGACACGCGCCACGCGGGCCTGCAGGAGGGGCCCTTTGGGACAGGGCGCCCAACCTCGCGGAGCGGAAGAGCTGCGTCGACGCGACCCTCTGCTGCCACCTGCTGGCCGCAGCAGGAGGAGATCACTCCCGCTCCCGCTGCAAATCGGAGAGCGAGGTTGCTGTTGGTTAAGGTTTTTACAAGGCATCCCATTTCTAAGTCTCTGGACGGCTTACAAAGAACAAAATAAAACAAAGAACAAAGCAAACCGTAACAACGACGACACTGCATCCGATAAATAATGATAAAAACAAGGATAAAACCAATTAACTGTTAAAATATCGGGAAAATAAAAAGGTCTTTGCCTGACACCAAAAATAAAGTTCAGAGGATGCCTAAATAAAAAGGTGGCATCACCCTCAGAAACTTTGGCTGCAATCTTGCACGCACGTACCGAGGAGTCAGGCCCCTTTAAAGCCAGGCGGCTGGTGCATCCGTGGCCATGCGCTGGCTTTTGCACGGTCATGCACTCCATGGCTCCCACTGAGTGTGATGGTATTTATGGGTGAGCTGCAGCCCTGCATGGGATCGTAGTGACCATTTAACTACGGCCACAGCTGAACCCCCAGGTGCAACGGTTTGAAGTTGCCCTCTCCACACAGAGAAATGTGTCGAAGAATTTAGCGAAGTTTCTGTGCTGAATAAATACGGATTTTAAAAGCTGTGGCCTTCAGGGCTGGTGGGTCCCATCGCCCTCCTGGAGGCTTCCATTTTGTTCTTCGCCTTGGCCAGCAAAAGCTTGTGGGCCGCCTCTGCTGCAGCTCCGGGCCGCAGCTCCCGTCCTGCACGGGCCCCTGCCCACGCCGCCTGCGGAGCACCCGCTAGCCCACCACTAAACGGTGTGGAGAGCGGGAAGACCAAGCGGGGCCCACGGGGAAGAGGCTGCCTGGGGACTACCTGGATTCTGGCTCTGCCCTCACAGCGGGGTGGGGCGGTTCCCGGCAAGGCCATGGAGGGCTGGACCAGGAGAAAGGATCGCGACCCCCTGCATGCCGAAGGGCGCCCATCCGTCCCCAGAGCGCGCCCCTTCGGCACGCGTGAGCCACCAGCTCATGGAGACATTCTCCGCCTGGGACGCACTGAGCAGCTGTCCCACATTCAGCTCACACCCCACCGGCCAGTGCCCGGCCCATGTTCCCCGCACGATGCTGCAGGCAGCATGGGGCCATGGGAGTCAGCCACCAAGACCTCGCCAGTCCCGGCCCAAAGCACCCAGAGCAGTGGCCTCCCCTGGGAACCGCAGTCGAGCTCTGCACAGCACAAATGCACCTTTCCGCTTCTCTGGCCTGCATCCCCGCCATCTGAGCTCCGTGGGATGTCTTCCCGGCATTCCGGTCACACGGAAGAGGAAGGAAACCTCTCCGTTCTCTCCACACCGGGCAGCAGACGGGTAACGCTGGCCGGGAGGGCGAAGCAGTCCTGCCCGGCACCAAGCGGCTTCCCACAGTTTTGTGCAGGCCTTCACATTTCCGGCTGGCTGTGGAGAAGCCCAGAACTGCAGTCATGCGGGACAGCTGCCCCCCAGCAAGGGCCAGCGGCATCTTCCGGAAAAAGCCCCTCCCATCCTCAGCGGGGCCAAGCCCTGGCCCTTCGGGCACAGCTGACATGGGTGGGCGGCGGCAGCTCTCCAGGGTCCCAGAACGTTTCCTGCCCCGCTCGGAGAAGACGGGGATCAAAGCTGGGACCCTTCGCTCTCTGAACAGAGTGACACGTTCTCGGAGTGAGCCTCTGCGTGTGCTTTTAATACGAAGACTTGACCAGATAGTGCAGCTTCCAGCAGCGGTCCTATTCAGTGTGCTACAGCTTGTCGCAATCAGATCCTCAAACAAGGGTGGAAAAGTGCTTTCTGGGCATCATGGGGAGCGGACGTGGTAATCCTGAACTCACTAGCCCTGCCGTGGCACCTGGTGGCCAGATGCTCTCCTTCCTCCCCGTCCCGGCCGGTGACCCCCTTGCCGAGAGGCACAAGAGCACCCGGGATGGGGGCAGGCCTCTGCGGGGCCCCCGGGCCACCCGCTCCCCTTGGCAAGCCAGGACGTGGCCTCCACGGATCGAACGGGGCTTTCCCCGCAGGCCACGCGGCAGGGAGGGCACCGGGGGGCTCCGGGACGGGCACTGCCTCCGTGCCCACGCGTGGCCAGGCAGGCTGGAGCTGGGGCGGGCGCTCGGCCACCTGTCTCAGAGGTGCCAGGCCCCCTCCCAGGCGTGCCAGAAACTCAGTCAGGCTCCAGGGCCGGCTCCTTCTCCGAGGCGGCCCAACGCCTTCCGTGGGCGGCGTTATGGCAGAGTGACCATCCGGCCCGTGCTCCGCAGCGGTCTGAATGGACGCTTGTTCCTCAGCCCGGAGAAGCGGTCGTTCAGGGTCAGGCCGGTCTAGGGGAGGAAAGCAGGGAGAGCTTTAGGCCACACCTGCAGGCACGGTGGGGCTCACTGCTAGGGAAACTCGGGGGACCACAAATCCCATGTGCCAGCATCAACTTAACACACACAGAGCTTTGGAGGGAGTGGATCTGCTGTGAGCATAAGGCTATTTAAGGTCACTGGACATCATGATCCAATTTTATTTAAACAAGTTTTTGGTTAATTAATTTCATTTCATATTTTGTCATGGATTATTTATTTTAATTTAATTTTGCTTCCTTCATTGGTTGTGCTTATTGGTGTGTGCAGATATATTTTATTATCCAACAGCATTTATTATTTTATTCTTTGTCTATTTTATTAGATCATCAATTGGTTTATTGCATTGCGCACCATGTTTTTATCTTGTTTTAGCACTTGCAAGTCACCCAGAGAACCTTCAGGTTATGGAGTGACATAGAAATGGAAGGAAGGAAAGAAAGAAGGAAAGACAGACTATAAGATCATCCATGGAGTTATGTATTGTGCGTGCTGGTTGCATTGAGACTGCTTTTTATGGTGCAAAGCAATGCATAAATTTTAAAGCACTACCTCTGACATGCGTATGGCGGGCGTGAGTGGAGCTGGCTGGAGCCGGGGTCAGACTAGATGGCTCAGGAGCCCCTCCTGTTTCTATGTTTCTCTGTCATCCAAAATTACACCCAGGACGAGAGGAGACATATTATTATTATTACATTTTTATACTGCCCATAGCCAAAGCTCTCTAGGCAGTTGACAGCAATAATCATAGAATCATACCCTCAAGTCGCTCATCCCACTTCTGCCCAGGCCTGACCCTGCTTAGCTTCCCAGATTAGGCAGGGTCAGGCACTTCAGGCTACATGGAAGCTGCTATTTGGGGAGTGCAAGGGAAGTGCCCATCTTGCTGGGGAGCTTCCAGCAGCAGGAGGTGCCTTCAGCCCTAGCCTGATCCAGCACGGCTCTTCTTGTGTTCCTGCCACATCTGAAGTGCTCGCAAGCGACCCTGCGCATCACAGGGCTGCACATCGGAAATGCGCCCGGGGCAAGGAAGAGCTCGCGGGGCTCCGCCAAGGGAAGGGGGCCCACGTGCACGCTGGCTGGGCATGGAAGTCTGCCAGGCGTTTTGCGCCAGCCCGCCGTGGCCACGGCTCCTCCGCCGCAGCCTTTGGGAGCACTTTCTACACGAATGGCGGAGGGGGGGGCTTTTCTGCAGGTCTGCCCAAGAGCCACTTCCCTCCCAGGTCACGTGAGGACGCTGTGGCCGGGCGCAGCCCTCCCCAGCGGCCGGCAGGGGACAGGTCACTCTTGCAGGGCGCTTGTGGGGGGCTTTGGAAACACGGCCGAGGGTCCCCGGGCTCCAAGGACAGCAGTAGCTCACCTTGGCTTGCTGCCTGGAAAAAACGCTTTGCGGGCCCAAAAGTCCACTCCCTGCAGAGGGAACTGGGCATGTGGCGGCTCTTGCCTCTCGGCAGCCGCCTTCCTACCTGCAGCGCATGGGAAGCGCTCGATTTTCATCTCAGCCGGAAAACGCGCCTGGGGGCTTGCAGCACTCGCCTCTCCTCTGCGGGGGGGGGGGGCAGTGAGGTGGGCTGAGGACTCGCCTAAGTGTCCCCGCCACTTAGTTTGGATTCACACGTGCACAGAACTCCCTGGAGGACTAGCAGCACGAAGAGGCTTCCGCTTGTGCTTGGCACTGGGGAGGGTTCCCTACCTGGTTAGCCACGGCACGGAAGTTGAACCTCAGGGGCACTCCTTTGGGCTGGCGACGGGCCGTCTTTGCAGGAGAGCTTCTCCCTCTCAGGAAGGGTCGCTTGGTTCCCGGCCTGCAAAACACACCCCAGATGCAGGCTGGCCTCGTTTTCACTTGGGACGGGAGGAGCAGCGGAGCGGAGGCGGCACGTGCTCCCAGCCCCGTCCTCGTGAGAAATGCCCGAGCGACGTCACCCATGGCAGCCCTGCAATCCACCGCACGGCTGACCCTTTCGAAGCGCTGCTGCAAATGCAGGCAATTAAGAAATTGGCTCGTTTTCCACATCCGGTAGCAGCATGAACGAGGAAAGGCAACGACTCCCGTGAGGCAAAGCGGCTGAGGCTCTGCCCACTGGGCAGGGAAGGCTGCCCGCCACGTTAGAAAAGCTGGACCTTTGCTCAGAGGCCCAACCACGCCCGTTGCAAACGAACGGGGGGACACAGGGGTGCACGCTGTGGCCGATTATTCTTGGATTTTAGTAGGCCCCCCCCCCGCTACTTTGTTTTTCCTTCTCTCTGTTGCCCACTAACAGACCTTCATAATCCAACCACACCTGGAGTTTCCCATGCAACGTCAGGGCTGCAGATGTGCCCATGCACTCATCTCTTGGCATTCACCATACCTCCTGCCCCTCCTGATTTTTATTTAATTTCTTCAGATGAGGAGGAGGAGGAAGAGGAGGGGGGGCAAACTGGCAGGGTGCACTGACTTCCAGAGCCATCTTTATTTGGGTTCAAAAGAGGGATTTCAAGAGAGAGATGTTGTGTTTCGGAGATCAGACCCATCCCTAAACCTTTTACTTGGGTTCTTGGATAAATTACTTTTCTTTTACCAGCTTGGCTTCTGAGAAACGGGTGGCCTGGGCCTGGCTACACACACCGTGGCAGCCCTTTTGCGAGCGCACACGTGCCGTTCCCTCAAAACTTCAAATGTGCCCCCCGTAAAGCAGTTGGTGGTCCCCGATTCCCCCCGAGGACATGGAGAGGTGTTTTCGGCACCCTCCCCTGCAAACCCCCCAAAGCCGGACCCAGCCCTCCGCGCCATCCACACACAGCAGAGCGCGCGGCGACTGGTCGTGGCCCAAGGCCGGTGGGGCCAAAATGCAAATGCGTGAGCACAAGAGGGGCCCCCGGGCAGAGCGGGGGCCGCGTCACACAAGACAACGCCACGTACACGTTCGTTTGACCTGCTTGAGGGTTTGCCACGGACACCGTCAGGACGGCTCCAGACGCAGGCTGAAGTTGCCACCTGCCGGGAGAGCGACACAAACAACACTGGGTCTCGCTGCTGTGAAGGGAGCACGTTCCTGGCTAGGAAAGAGAAGGGGAGACTTCCCCTCTTTACCTTCTCATCTGGGATGGTTTCCTCTGCGCATTTGTCTCAATTCTCTGGGAGAAGAAGGGACATAAAAGTCACTCCTCAGAAAAATAACACCACAACAGGAAGGGTCTCGGGTGTCTCAGGACTGGTGGAAAGGGGCCCGGCCCGCTGGCACAAAGGGCTCTAAGGGGTCGTTGGTCTGTTTCAGAGCGAGCACGGCAGCCTTCTCCTGCTGCTCTGAGTGGCCGAGGCGGCTCGAGCGGAGATCGGCTCCCTTCGCGAGCTGGTCCTGGGCTGCTTGGGCCGTCAAAGGCTCAGATCAGGCCCTTGAGCCAGGCCCGGCATCCGGAACGGAGGCCTCGCGGCCAGCCCGCATCAACAGAGGCTCCGCGGCAGGGCCACACGCCGGCCAGTGCAGGCGCCTGCGGCGAGGCCGAGGCGGGGCCGGCTGTGGCTAGGCCGGGCTGGCTGCAGGATGCCCACAGCCAAGGCTGCCCCGGGCCAAGCTCCTTGGTCGTGATGGCCGCGGAGGGTGCCGCCACAGTCAAAATCCACCCGAGAATAGCAGGCGATGCCTGGCCTGTCGACTCCCCAGGAGCGCCTGGGGGCCCTGGCAAGAGTCTGAACTGGGCCAGGTGGACCTTTGCCGGGCGCAGCAACACAATCCACACGCCGGCAGGTTCGCAGCATCGGCCACGACCTCAGCGGGAAGCCTCCGGCCAGCATGCGCATAACACTAACACCCCACCATAAAGGGCAGCCGTGATGTTTACAAAAATAAAGCAGTGAACTGCAGGGAGCAGATACAAGAAGTGCTACATAAACGAGAAACAGGGCAGGGGGCAGGGAAAGCAAATTCTCCATCCAGACTCATCCTGATCCACGCAGAAAGACGGACAAGGGACTGACTTGTCCGCTCGAGCTGAATCTGGGCTGCCTCTGGAGGAAAAGTGGTCTTCGGTTTAGTCGGAAAGGCCTGTTTGTGGGAGGAAGAAAAGGGGCCAGATTAACACAGCGCACAAGCCCGTAGATGGCCTTGACATCTAGAGTGAGAAAGGTCCGGGCTTTCTCCCTGGAGTTTGCAAAGAATCCGCACTCTCAGAATTTGGAAGAAAAGCCTGGAAGATTTGTCATGCAAATCTCTCTCTCCCACTCACTCACTCACTCACTCACTCACTCACTCACTCACACACACGTGTGCAAAGGAACCTAGCCACCTCGAATGCCCACGAACACACCAGCCATTCCGCAAAGCTGGAGCCCCCTGGGCGAGTCAGGCCAGGGCTCCCACCGCCCCCGAGCCCCCGCTGGCCACGCCAGCAAACGAGCCGAGGGCCGTGCGGGGAGGCCACGCGCACACCCACGATGACCGCCACGGCGAGCGTTTTTCACCTGCGGGCCGGTGGCGGAGCTCCCGCTGGGAGGAACCGCTGGACCCTCGTGGGCAGCTGCCACTGGGCCTCGCCCGCCGGCCCCTTGCCGGGGCTCCGGACTGGGGCGCCTCCCTCGCGCTTGCCCTGGAAATGAAGCGCGGCTCAGTCAGCGGCCCTCTGCAGTCGGCCCAGGTTGGTCTTCCAGCAGAGACGCCGCCAGTCCTACCTGCTGCGCCGCCCCTGGCCGATTCAGCGGGCTCACGCCGTGCGCGCGGGCGGCTGCTCCCCGCCGGGGGCCGTTCCAGAAGGGCTTCCGGGAAAACTGCTGCCCCCGAGACCCTCCTCTGAACCTGGTGGGACCTGAAGGAGAGCACAAGGCAGATGCCAGCAGATCGCTCGGAGGCGGATCCGCTGACGTCCCCGGAGGAAAAAGCCTCCAGAGAGGTCCACCACACCGATGATGCCGGTGCCTCCCAGCACCAAGCGAAGCCTCTTTTCCCCGAGGCTCGTTGGAAAGCAAGCTCCGGACTGGTGCGGCAGTTTTGCGGGTTCCCATGCCAACTGCTGCATTCCCTTATATTATACTTTATGCTTTTAAATATTTGTATTGTGCTTTATATGTTTGACTCTTCGGGAGCATTTAGTGCCTTAACACTAACTGTAGGACAGATCACGCATGGAATAAGCATAACAGAACACAACACAAATCCCCTGGTGTCAGCCAACAGCACTCTAGAGCGCACACTTGTTATCACCGCAACTTCGTATCTTCTCAGCCCTTCCTTCAGAGAGCCCACGGTGGCACAAAATGGTTCCCCCATTTTCATCATCACAACGACCCTGCTGGGTAGGCCGGGCTGTGAAACATTGGCTAGCCAAAGTTTCCCAAGGAGTGCCAAGGCTGATCAGTCCTGAATCCTTGGAGCACATCCAGCGCCTCACCCAGGGGTTATTTTCCCAGTCATAACAGCACTGAAAGCCACTTAAAGCAGACTTTCGGTAGGCTTCTGCGCTTATGATTATGATTCCTACATTGCATTTATCTCCCTGCTTTCTCCCTCTTGCGAGGAACGCAAGGTGGCATCCAGCGCTCCATTTTATCTTCACAACAACCCTGTGAGGTAGGCTGGGCTGAGGAGGAGTGACTGCCCAAGGTCGCCCAACGAGCTTCATGGATAGGTCTGAACTAGAACCTGGGTCCCCAGCCCAGCACTCTTAACCATCAGCCCCCGCTAACTGGATCGCACTCTCTGGGAATGGCCGGCTGTGCTGGAGAACTGGGCTGGCTCAGGCTTCAGCCCTGATGATTTATGCCGCACAGTACAACACACAACACACCCGTCGGAACGGCGCTCGCCGCATGGGGGCCGCCCTCGCTTCACGGGGCCCCCCTGGGCAGGGACTCCTTCCCCCAGTCGCCCTGCCGCTTGGTGCTTGGGCACTCGCGAGGGAAGGCTCCTCCGAGCTGCCCCTCTGACCGACAGCCCCCCATCTCGAGAGGCCGCACTGCAGGGCCGCATGGAGAATTTCCTTCGCCTTCGTAGTCTGTTTCCTCTGCAGCTGCAGTTCTCTCCACCAACACCTCCGACTCGTTATTGATCGGCTTTTCATTTCATATTCAGCCCGGATTTTACAAAAAATCAGAACAAAACAGAAGGTCCTGTGGGGAATTCATTGTGACCATTTTCTTAGAGTCTATTTATTTGCTGTCTAATCTCTACTGAGTTTTCCAGATACCAACTACCGAAGGGAGAAAGCTAAGCCACCCATGGCCCCGGTTAAAATCAAACCTCTCTGGGGTTCTAGTTCCAGCAGTGTGGAGGGATGCGACCAGTCTAACCAGTCCAAATTCTTTCTGAAGGTTCTTGAGATGGTATCGCAGTCTGCAAAGCAACTGTGGTGGGACGGGGGCTTAGGGTGACCTCAGGGGAAACGAAATAGGTGCTTGGAATAGGAATTTTGAAGCTCTGAAAAGTAATGGGGAAAGGGTGCAGTTCTCTCTGTTTCGGCAGGAGAACGTCCCGCCGCTGGGGAACACGGGGAGCTGCCGGGCTTCTTTATGTCCCAGCGTGCGCAGGACGGCTCTCCGAGGCAAAGGGCGTTCTAGGGCTCCCAGGAGGGGGTGGTGGAAGTCCCTTTGCCCCCCTCCTTTCTAAACGGGCACAGGGTTGTGACCTTACTAAATTAAACCATCGATAAAGGCAGTCCCTTAAGAAAAGGGCTGGGAAGTTAACTGGCAGGGCAGCCGCAGGGCCTGTCCAGGCTGGAGCCCAGCTCCTGCCGTCCCACGAGAAAGGGCCGAGAGGCTGGTGGCCACAAGTGGTCAGTGAAGGCGGGTGGGATGATCCAGACGGACAGCGGGTTTGGCAGCAGTGCTGCGGGTCGGCACATGCACTCCGCTCTTCCCCACATCCCCGGTTTCCTGCTGGGGCTTCCCAGGTACCTTGCAGATTGCGTGGCACCCAGCTCCGGAATCGGGGTTTTCCACTGCTGTAGGCCGGATTTCTGTACTTGAACTGCTGCCTCCAGCTGGCCCTCCGTGGGTTTGTCCGTCCTTTCTTGTTGCGCTTTATGATGTCATCTAAATTAGCCACAGAGGTAATTTGCTTGCATATTGTGTTCCCCCACAAATAGAGAGGGTGCCAAAAATGTATACACATTTTAAGAAAGGGGAACAGTGTATTAAAATAGTAATACTCAATATATACCGATAACAAAAGTCACGTTGACTTCTGGAATTACAAGAGGTGCTCAAAGTGCTTCCCATCAGCATCCAGACACTTCTGATTACGGCGAACTTAAAATGTGTATACATTTTTGGCACCTCCTGAATATTTGTGCTCAAAGCAGGCGACAGGTAATTTCAACCACCCTGATTACGGCTCACAGCAGAATGCGCTGAGCCACTCGGCCCACACGTTCATCCGAGGCAAATCAGGAATCTAAAGGTGCACCAGATGTTCAGCACGTCCCAGCAGCGACCTCAGTGCTGCTCCCACAGGGAGTGCGTTGCTCAGCCGCTTGTATTAAGGGAACCAACGGGCAGCTTCCTTTTTCACATCGAGACAGCAAGCAAAGGCGGAAATGGTAAAGGCGCGACAAGCCTTCCGATTCCTTAAACCAAGAAAGGGCACCCTCAGTCCAGCCGTTACTTGTGCCCTGGCTGCAGCAAGCAGCCAGAGAAGACCGGGAGAGGCGAGTTGTGGAAGCCCTCTTCCCAAAGAGGGGCTCTCCCGAACAGCAGTGATGCCCCGTCTATCGTGAATGCCTCCGGCCCCTTCCCGAAGCCACCCAAATCTGCAGCTGGTGCCAGCCGATGCCACAAAGTGAACTCTGCCCCAAATCCCTCGTGGCTCCGCTCCCCTGGACGAGTCCGCCTGCTTGGAGCAGGAGAGATACTCCCTTTTGGTGTGCCAAGCTGCACACCCCCAATACTGAGCTGGGATCGGGACACTCCCGGTTACAGAAGGCGGGGGCAGTTTCGAAAGAGGTCAAAGGATGAAACGGACGGCTTTGGAAAGAACGTTTTCTACGGAGGGCTAGAAGAACTGGTGCAGGGTTTGTGGAAAAGGCTTCTAGTTCTGCTGGCTAGATGCCACCTGCAGCACCAGAAGCTGGAAGCATCTGCTCAGCAGTGGCTGTGGAGCATGAGCAGGAGGGTGCGGTGGCACATGTAGCTTGTGAGCTTCCCACCTGGGCAACTGATCGGCCACACTGAATAGAAGGCCAGACCAGAGGGCGGATCCCAGCTCAGGACCTTCCCTGTGTTCTGGCATTCCAGCTGAGGGCAAGTCACAAACAGAGGCAAGAGCTTGCTTTTAAATCACCTTTTTATCTAAGCATTATTCTAATTGCTAATATTATTTATTTATTTTATTCTTTGGCCAGGGCGGCTTAAACTTTACTGTTATACTGCTAAATTATATTGTTTTATATTATGTTATTTATTTATGATTGTGAGCCGCCCCAAGGTGTCCACGAATGAGGCGGCATAGAAGTCCTCTAAATCAATCAATCAATCAATCAATGCTTATATAAAAGAGAGAGCAACAATGCCAGAAGTCCAACAGTACGTGCTGGGTGCTGGCTACGAAAGAGGTCCGATTGGTGTCAGCACAGGGCATCTAAAAGCAGGCACTCTGCATTCAGACCAGCAGAGGGGAATTTGTCCAGAGAAAGGCATGAGCCAGACGGCCTGCAGAGAATGGGGAGGTTTTGTCTTTTATAGTAATCCACGGGATGTGGGTATTTCCAGCTCACTGACTTAATAGAAGAGGGTGGTGTTTGTCTGCGCTGCGGACTGCATGCCAGGGAAGCCATTTGCACCTCCAGGCAGCTCCATAAATAGACCAGCGCAGCGTCAGGCGCTATTTTTGGAGAGGGCCCCTGTTGCTTGGGTTCACTCTCATGGGGGGGGGGTCTGGGCTTGGGCACACGGGTGTCCCTACCTGCATTCGCCACACCCTCCCCCAACACACGCCTTGCTCTAGGTCAGCCCGGTGTCCTCCAGGTGCGCTGAACTCCAGTTCCCAGACCCCTGCTGGGAGTCGTAGCCCAACTGCCTGGAGAGCCACCGGTGGGAGAAGCGGCCCCGCCCCGCCGAGTCTCCCGCGTGGGTCCTGCCCTCGCAGCCTCCTTGCTCGGTGGAAAGCCCGCTTCTTGGCGCTGGGCACGCGGGGGCAGGAGGGAGATGGGGGGTGCGAAGCGCGGGCACGGGGGAGCCCGCTGCGCAGAGCAGGCCCGGGGCAGGAGGAGCGCGCGGCCGACAGAAGCCCGCGGGCGCCCCGCTCAGGCCAGGCGGGTCCCCGTCCCCGTCGCCGCGCCCCCGCGCCCGCCCCCTCCAGGCCCGTCGGTTCCCTGCGGGATGCGGGGGTGCCCGCGGGCTCGGCCCTGCCGCCTGCGCCCGGCCCGGCCCGGCCCGGCCCGGCCCGGCCCGGCAGGACTGCGCGGCTGGGCCGCCCGGGAGGGCTGGTGGGGGCACCACGTACCCAGGGACAGGTCGATCTCCTCCTCCGCGGCCGCGCCGGCCCGGCCCGGCCCGGCCGCCCCGACGGCGCCCGCGTCTACCTGCTGCTCGCCGGCGCCCGGGCTCTCCATCGCCGCGCTCCGCGCACCAGCGAAGCTGCCCGCGGTGGCGCACGCCGCGGCGTGCCGAGAAAGGCCGGGCGGGCGGGGAGGCGACCGGAGAGCCCTGCCAGCCCCC